GCAGTATCCCTTCCAGCCACAGTAGTCAAGGCCAGTTGTGGATCATGAAGATTTCCTTTAATAACTCGATGATGTGTGGACATGGAACAATACAAATGACTACCTATGTCGATAAACAAACCAACACAATAAGAAAAAAAATCTATCACATCAATAAAGATGTTTTTCTCGATTAATCGAATAAATAGAATTTTTGTTGTTGATAAAGATAGTCGATGGATTCGAAAAAAGTCTGCGTTGGTCGGTAAAAGTGGTTCCTTTTGGCTTCCAAACTGATCGTGAACAAAGTCTTGGTTGATTGAATGAGAAATCTACGAGAAAGAAAATTTCATTTCTATATCTTTCACCTGAAACTTTTCTTTTGATTCCTAAGGTTCTATAAATACAAAATTGTTATCGAACTCACCACAAAAGTTGTCTAAGTAAAATTTATAAATTTTGTTATTAAAAAAAAGACTGACAAACATGTGGCCATGTACATCAAAAGCCATAGAAAATGGTTTGCCCAATTGCTTCTATTGACTGTTCTATACGTAGCATCCGACTAAGCATCGAAAACCATAGGGTCCTTCTCCAACGATACGATCCCCTTTTAGAATCAACTATAAATAAATATTTTTTCGCATCCAATAAGACTCCAGTAGGATTCTCAAGAAAAATAGTAAACTTGTGTGATTTCCTGCCGGCAGCCGTAATAACGTTGTTTTCTTCCAAAGGAAATAATTGAACTCGATTATTCTTTGAATCGACCACAAATAAATCGAGGGTCGGAATCACTTTGCCGACAAACACATTTTAATCTGAACTTGTGTAGTCAACATTATCTTGACGATTAGGAATCAGATGAGAGTGCAGAGGAAGTCTAGATAAGGCTGTAAGGGAGACCTAGATGAGGGTGTAGGAGAAGAATTAAGGGAGAATATTGTAGCTATGGTAGAAATCTGGTTAAAAGTGAATGTTGCATCGGATACTCTCGGGATTTCGTTTTAAATGGAATTTTATGTTTTGAAATTTTTGGCAAAAAGATTTATCGGCAAGGTGGTTGTCGGTAACATGGTCTTCGGCAAAGTGTACCGGGCCCCCTACTATTGCACAATTTCGACAAAGAAAAGATGATTATTTGTGTTTATCTCAAGAATCGAAATACGAATTTGACTTTTTTTTAAAGAAAATCGCTTAAGAATTAAGACCATTTAACAATATTTTTCCCACAAAAATCTTGTACTGCATTCGAAACATATGGACCAGCACCGATTTCATAGATGCACATGACTGGACAATGGTCCGACACCGAGTATCCTCCAGTACAAAAGATATTTGTTAGAGAATTAGCTAAGATAGGACGTGCATATTTATTTTGCATGATCCAATCTAATGTTGTGCCAACTTGAA